TAAAGTGATACAAAAACAGGCTCCGTGTAAGTGGTTTATGCGAAGCTTTACATTATTTACTAACATTCTGGTAATTAGGACCGTATGCACTGTTTATGCAACAATTATCAACGGTGACATTAATTGACGTAACATTATATGCGAATGACATCAACAACAATATTGATGACAACCGTATTACAAACAAAGAAACAATGCAAATAGTGGTACACCATGTTTTTATCATCAATATCATATAACAACATCATCAAACTTTTAAACCAAAAATGTTGGTAATAACATTAATAACACCAGCGCTTGAAATCAACTGCATATGGTGATACCAAAAATTACATCAAAATTATAAACAGCAATGATACAACTACCAATAAAATGACATCAACATAATAAACAACATTAATACCATTGCCATGACATCAACTACAAAATTTATTATTAATGTCACAGATGTCATCATCAAGAAGCGGCAGCATTAATGAGTTAATTTTCTGATCGTCGTAAACAACCATTTTTTTTATTATCACCTTAATTATTTTTTATTGTTATTGTTAGTGTGGTGGTTATTGTTGTTAGTGTGTTTGCTATTGTTGTTGTGCTTGTTGCTGTAGTTATTGCTGCTTTTTTGTCAATGTTGTTGTTGTTGTTTTGTCTATGCTGTTGTTGTTTTGTCTATGTTGTTGTTTGTTCTATGCTAATGTATCTCTTATTATCAACGTTAAAATTATCAATAATGTTCATTGGTTTACATCGTATTATCGTCACTGCTATGGACGTCATCATCATCATCACTATCATTATCATTACTATCATCATCATCATCATCATCATCACTATCATTATCATAACTATCACCCTTGTATTACAAAAAAATCATTAACGGAAATGGGAAGAACAAGAAGAGGACAAAGCATTAAAAACGAGATAAATTTGAGAAAGAGAGAGAGAGAGAAAAAGAAAGAGAGAGAGAGAGAGAGAGAGAGAGGAATGGAGAGAGACGATGATTTGTGGTTTATTATCATAGGATGTTACCTTTACCACTTGGTGCTGATTTAAGGTAGTTGTGTCGACCGCTATAGCAAATATAAATACACATAAAATATGCCCGGTGTGTATTTATGTATTTTATTATGTATGTATGTGTGTGTGTGTGCGCGCGCGCGCTTATTCATGTATTGTTCTATGTGTGTATGTTTTTGTGCTGTTTAATTTATGTGTGTGTGTATTAATGTATTTGTGCATGTGTATTTGTGTTTGTATGTGCACTGCAATTGTGTATACATACATACATATATTTGTGTGTATATTTTGGTCTTTTTATGTATAAATTTTTGTCAAACTTATGTATGTATCAACTGTTTTTTTGTCTGAGGGTGTTTGCAGACGGACATGCATATTTTAATATTCAAATGCATATTTCAAAAGTCGGCAGACCTAAATCAAATAAAGAATAACTATTTGCTCTTTGAAAATATTCCAAATGGAAAAATTTTCCTACATTGTAAAAACTTAATTCAATTTACCTATATCTATAATTTGTGTGCGCGCGTGTGTTGTGTGTGTGTGTGTGGGAATTCGTGTGTGTGTAACGGTGTGTGTGTGTGTGTGTGTGTGTGTGTGTGTGTGTGTGTGTGTGTGTGTGTGTGTGTGTGTGTGTGTGTGTTTGTAACTTTTCATGCAAAAAATTTTATAACTTATGTTGTTTTTGCAGTGTTAACGCGGTGACATATATTACGTTCATGAGGTGCTCATTATAACGCCTGCTATATTTCAATTTCAGATCAAGAATTAAATTTTCATATCACGCACATTATCACCATTTTTTTATAATATAAACGTGCGAGATGTTTGCTCGTTTGTCTTTGGTTGTGTTGTTGCGTCACTCTGGATGTGCGCTTGCGTGTTTCTCGTTGTCTGTGTGCGTGTGCGTGTGCATGTTTCTCTGTGTTTTTGTTTGTTTGTTTTTTCATTAAAATGGTTTTGTATTTATTACGTACAAACACATGTATAAATGTTTTTATTTTAATGTGGAAAAAAAATCAAATTTTGACACTTTGCAGATAGAGGTAAATAAAAAATTAAACCAGAAACAAAAAAACTTTTAAAAAATAATGCAAAACAACTTAAAGTGAATGAACTTTTTTGCAATAAGTTATTCTGAAATCTTGGAAAAAATTGTCTAAAAAATGTTTGCGCGTGTCTGTCTGTGTGGTGATTTTTTAATTTTGTGTGTAAATGTGAGTGTGTATGCGTGTGTGTGTTGTTGCTATTATAGTTGTTATTCACGTTGTTGTCATGAGAAAACATCATTAAGACCATTATCATCATCAATCATCATCATCATCGAGCCATCATTACCGTCATAATCATCACCAACATAATTATGATGACATCACTATCAACCCATCATCATCGTCATCACAATAATCCCCACCATCATCGTCATCATTGTCGTCATCTTCATCACCACTTACTATTTCTTTCACCCATCATCGTCATCACCATCATCATATCATCATTTCCATCTTTATCATCATCATGATCTTCATCGTTTCCATCATTATCATCTTCGTCATTTTCAACTTCCCCTTCATTTATAATTGATAATGTTTCACGGTTGTCTCTCTCTCTCTCTCTCTCTCTCTTTTTGAACCTCATTATTTCTACAGAACCAGGTGTTGTTGTATGATTGGAAGGATTAGTTGATGCGTGTATTTGCGTGTTGTTGTTGATGTTTTTGTTGTTTTTGATGTTGTTGTTTTTTTTGATGTTGTTGTTGTTAATGTTGACGTTGTTGTTGTTGATGTTTTTGTTTTCTTGTTGTTGATGCAGTTGTTGTTGATGTTGTTAATGAGTTTACTGTTAACGTATTTTTTGATCGGTGTTGTAGCGTTTCTTGAAAAATCAAGCGTTATTTGAACAATATAACTTTTTCTTTAAACTTAAAATTTTAATGACGCAATGATTGTAGTTGTATTCCAATTCATTAACAACAATATATTTGTGCTGTTGTTGCTGCTGTTGTTGTTGTTGTTGCTGCTGTCAAGTTTTTTGCATTCAAGTTATTATGGTTAGCTAGCTCAGTTCCTAAATAACAATCACTAGAAGTTATTATTTTTTGGCTCATGTGATATTAACAGCAGATAACATTATTGATAGGATGTCGATGTGAGTTTGATAAAAATCTGG